AATAAAATAAAAAAACATTTGGCAATAAAAAACAAAAAACAAAAACAAAAAAACAGGTTCATATTCAGCTTTAAAAATTTAACTACGTTATATACATTCGTAGACATCTACATAGGGGACAATTTCTAGACTTCAAATGCTAACAGTGGTGAAATGATGGGAGGGGGCAGATATAATTAGGAAATTTTCTAAGGCAAAAATAGGTTTTTAAAAGGAAGATATAGCATGCGAACAACAAAAAATTTTACTTTCCCCTTTATATTTTCTAACATGGAAATAGTTAAGTACCATGAAAACAAAGAAATGAATAGCTTACCAAGTGAACCCAGTATGACCAGAACTGTTAAGATCCACACAAGTACTCTTGATATATACCTGATTATCACCATCAAAATCATGGACAGAACTGCATTGGAGAGAAACAGAGAACGCAAAGAATATTATTTGAAAACATAGGAAACTATAAAGAAAAACCCTTACAGATATTGTTTAATACCAGGGAAATAATTTATTGCTATGAAGTAGTTTATAACCACAATTTAGATAAAAAAAGAAACTGGCCTTTTCATTTTGACTTTGCTACTTATACCACTTAAATAGCACTGCTTAAAACCAAAGGCCCCTAATTCTGTGGGCTTATAAACTACAGAAAAGAATACATGCAAATGCACATGGTGACTCAAAAACGGCACAGGACTGCTGTGGATTCACCCAGAGACATCAGACTTGCAAACACACACGCCAGCACACAACGTGTAGGGAATGACATGTCATGTTGGTGACAAGAAAAATTACCACATGCAGACAGACATCGGTCAAATTAGGTGCTACGCTTCCTGGAGTAACCTATGCATGGCAGGACCAACGTCTCTGATAGTCAGCTAAATGCTAGATGGCATCTTATCTCTTTCTAGTTGTTTCTGCTGTGGAACCCCACGGGATGGTCTGACCCTATGGAATAATATCCAAAAGGAAGAATACTGAGGCCAAAATTCCTCTAACCTTTACTCTCATCTTGGGTCAAGGGTCCTGACTGAGAAGACATCCCTCAAAAAGGACTAAAGCTTAGTCTGAGCTACGTGGCTAGCTCCTCCACCTGTCCCAAGCTAACTCCCAAGGTGTTACAATCTTGAGTAGAAAAATCTCAAAAAAGAAAGGGGGGATTTAACCCTTACATGGGAAATACATTTCTAAAATCATAATTTATGAATTTTTAAATTATTGAAAGGCCTCTTCCACAAACAAATGAACAAAGATCTTTTGGGTTTATATTATATTCTTAAGCCTTGAGAGAAAATCATTCTAATTCCTAATAAAAAATGGAATTCTGATAGCTTAACAACATTGCTGTTGCTATTTTTGTTTGGATTTTTAATTTTGGGGGTTGAAGTACTCAATTATTTCCGGAAACCAAGTCACTTTTACATAAAGCTGTACTAACAGTCAAGTTTCTTTGGGCCATTTCCAATGTCAAATAAATGGTTGGGACTTGCATCTCGGCAACATTATTAAGGTACTCACTTTTGCAATAAATGTACAGGAACCAAAAACAGATGACCTTTCAAATATCACAGAAATATATTTTCATATGGACAGCATTAATTCAATTGAGTCAAGTAACTACC